AAAAAAAAAAAAAAAAAAGGTGTCCCAGGTAAGACCTGAAAAGTTAGGCAACTTTCATAACCTGAACTAGTTTCTTCAAAAAAAAACAAAACCCAAAAAACTTTGAAGCTTCCAAAACCAAATAAGTAGCTATTCAGGTGCTGGTGTGGAAACTCTTGGGTGGCAGGCTGCAGAAAGTACACCACACCTCATCTTTGGTAGTGCTCAAGGCAGCACACTGTCCAATTACTGAGCAAAAGCCTGCGCTGCACAGGCATGTCTCAGCAGTGGGTTTAGCCAATGTTGCTGGAGCTTGAATTCTGCTGCGATCTCACTTCCAGGGGTGCTGAGAATCTGCAGTGTTGTCTGATGGCTCTCCTGATAGAGTGCTCAGTGCTTCTGAAAAGTTCTCTGAGCTTGCAGGCTGTTTTTGTAGGGTGTTGTTGGGGTTTTTTTTAGTATAGGCCCTTGACACAACAGATGAAATCTTGGCTTGGCATAAAGTAATTCCAACAGAAGCATATCTATGAAAAGTTGTCTTAATGTAGTCTTCTACAATGGAAAAGCAGGAAAGGTTTGCCACTGGCATGCCATCAATCAGAACCTGTTTTGAAAGTTAGTGGCTTATTTAGGTCTTTACCAGCTCTTCCAGTACTTCTGAAACTCTTAGCAGGTCCTGAGATAGAAGCAGGAGGAAAGGGATCGGAATAGACAGTGAATGGAGTACTTGAGTGTGGCTAGCCTGGTGGAATACTTGGTAACATTGTGTAGGCAGACCTTGAAAACAAGTGCACCTAGATGGCAGGCTACATCTAATTGGAAATAATCTTTCCTACCTAGTTCAAAGAATCACGTATACCTTGTGTCTCAGTGGAAACATGTCAAAAGAAAAACAGAGGTTTTCAGTAACTTTGAAATGTCCTGTGTTCAGTAACAAGAGCTGGAACCTTCTGACAAATGCAGTTTTCATAGGCTTTGAAGTGCTGTGTTTATAGTTTTGAAGTTTTACCATCACTGAATAATGGTGAAAAAACTACTAGATGAGCATGTAGGTATCTATAGCAGTAGACAACACTTAGTATTCATTTTTATTTACAATTCAAATGTATGTTTTATATATGCTACATTTGATAAGACTTTTTATATGGTGACTGTTGCCATTTTTGTACTAATGCTATTTTTTAATCTCTTTCTCTCCATCAATAGTTGATTTGGAGAATAGGAACTGAAATTCTGTGCCATCATTCCCATAGCAGCATGAAAGAGTTCAACTCTTTCATAGAACAGATTAAAACTTCAGGGGTAAAAAGGTATTTGAAGGTGAGTGTACTTAATGTAATCTTGATGATTTTCCATTTATTTACCTGAACATTTACTTGAGTATTATTTTCTGAATCTCTCAAAGTGTATTGCTGATAATGGTGTTAAAAAAGAGTACATCTTGCATGATATTTTAAGGGTTATTCTATAGCTAACTGTATCTCATTTAGTCTGTATATTTTATCACAGGTGTGTATCGTCAGTCCTTAGAAGTGCCTAGATCCTTTAATTAGTATTTTAATTTGAAACAGTTCTTTCATGCATGCCTCAGTAACATTTAATTACATGTTAACACCTGTCAAGTTTTGTTTCCAGTCCTTAATTTGGCTGCTGTACTCCTGACTAAAAAGTTGCACTGAAATTTTGCCATCATCTTCTGATCACTCTTCAAGTAGCTATATATGTGTAAAACAGTGCATCTCATACTGTGGACCCCTGTGTCTCCCAGCTGTAGTTTTTTCTGTGGTGGTTCATTCAAATGTATATTGGTTTGATTTCCTTGACTGTTTCTCACCTGTGGCAATGCTTCTGTCTTTCATTCTGTTGTATTTGTTCAGGGCCTTCAGTGTAAGTTTTATGCAAGAGTTTACTAGAGCTAAGTGAAGATTTAGACTTCTATCCAGTTTCTAATCAACATGATAGGATGGTAGGACATCCCTCCTTCAGGTGTTCTGCAGTTGGGTAGCCAAATCAAAAATCAGTAAATGTAACCCAACTGGATTTCCCCAGGTCATTTCTGGGTCTTCTTAAAGAGGTACAACAGCACTGTTAATGACAAGCAGGTTTTTGAGACAGCTGCTTTCTGCTGCCTTGATCAATACTGCTGAGTGTCTACCACCTAGTGGGTGGGTGACTTTCTGCCCCACAGATTTCAAGAGCTTCAGTCCTTGCCCTTTCCTTTCCCAGGGATACAACTTGTTGTACTACAACATTGTACAACAGTGTTTGTCTGGCATCTTCAGACAGAAAAAATTACTTGGGTTCTTAGCTCATCTCCGTGTCCTCAGTGACACTTGTGTTCTCCCATTCCTGCGTTTTTCTCCAAAATTGCTTGTAAAGATACTGTTTGGATAAAAGAATATGTGTAAAATGCTCTTCTAATTAAAATACTTTGCTAGCTATGTTTGTGATGTTTTATATGCATCTCAATAATGAATCTCTTCCCTGCATATCTGTGTAGAATTTTACTGTATTGCTGAGATTCTCGCCATTTATGATGTGAAACGCTGTGATACGGACTGTTTGAATTACAGGTTTGTTTAGAGCATGCCTTTCGCCTCCTTTGTAATGGACTAGTAGATGAAGCTTACCAAATCCTGTCCGTGGCAGAAAGCTGGAGATTTGGAGAACAAACAGCCATTCAGGATAAAGAAATGAAGCTGATTCAGGCTTACAAGGGACTGTTGGACTACTATAGCTGGTGTAAGCAGAAGAACATCTTGTTAGAGAATGGTAAGTCCTAGTGTTGTGTTTGTGTTGAGCTGTAAACTTCAGCTTGCTTACACCGTGGTTTGCAATGATGTCTTTTCCATGCGGGCTGCTCTTGTGTCTTTATCTGCATATGAAGGCACCAGAGGGAAATATTAGACTTCAAAATGTGATGGTATGGATGGTAAATAATTCCATAGCAGCAGTGACAATGGTACTGAAATGGCACACTGACCTGTGCTTTTCTGTAGGGTCCTGAAATGCTATTCCAAAACTTCCCCCCTGCGCCCAAATCCCATTTTTTGTATCCAGGCATCATCACCTAAAAAAAAATTATCAAAGGAAGGTATTAACTTAGAGCAGCAGCTTCTTTATAGGTGCAGAAGTGCTTGACTGCTAGAATTTTGAGTGCTAGCAAAAACCCCCCAAAACTTGTGCCTGAATTTCAGTTTCTTTAGAGGTACCGAAGTTGCTGCTTGTGAGTGGTGTCTAATTCTGCATATACCTGCTGGCTGTGTGATATCAGTTGCATTTGCTCTCTACTTGTTTCTTTGAAAACTAAATATTGAATTTGGTTTATGGACCTTTTGCTGGTTGTGTCTTGTCTTTGAACACTGCCTGTCATGCCCCAGGAGTTGAAATTGGTTGATGATAAATCTGAATGAAGAGCAGTGAAAATTTCTGGTTCCAATACTGAGGAAACTGAGATGTCTTCTCTAAAAACTCTGATTGGTATCTTTGCTTACAAAATGTGATTACCTGTTAGGTGCACCTCTTCTTCAAGATCTCCTTTGCTTAGCAAAGCTAACTTCGTGGCATTCTTGAATGTTTTGGTAGAGCGGGATGGATTTGAAGACTTGTCTGTTGAACAGGAAATGCACAGTTGCTTTCGGAAGGCAGCAGTCAACTTAAAAGAGATAATTAAAATGCCTGGAGTCTGGGATCTCTTTGTGAAATGCTACGTGGATGTAAGGACATGTTTTACAGATTTCTTCCTTTTGTGTTTCCCTGTCTAATTTTCATTAAGATGCCTGTCTGCAGCTTTTTTATATCTGGGTGGGTGATGACAAAGTATTTTAAAAGCAGCACGTATGTGTATCTCACTGGCTTTGCTTTAGGGCACATCTTACTACAGATAGAACTGCAGAGCCTGCACAAAGTACAAAAAGGACTTTAGCTGTGCATTGCCAAGAAAAAGAAATAGACAAACAGCTTGCATATTTTGTTTTCATAGTGCTAGTACAGAAATTGGAGCACAGCTGCTTTGTTTAAATTCCTGAAAGAAAGTTCTTCCTTTTTGGTGGGGCAGTGTTTTTCTAGATAGACTAAGACAGCAAACATGCAGTCCCTCTGTGTTGGTGTGGGGGTTTTTTTAATACCTGCTTGGAATTTGTAATTAAGAAATAAAGTTAATCTTAAAATCTGTTTGAAATTATGTACTTTTTGTAAATGCTGATTAAGCTCTGACTTCCCTAAGCACATCTTAAAGAATTTTGCTTGGTGCTGACAGCTGCCAAGTTCTCTCACTGAGTTCTCTCTTTAAAGACATAGCAAGGTGCTTTGTGCCTCTTTCCAGTTCTGGTAATTCTTTGACAATTAAAGACATTTCTTCCTGTAGTGGCTTCTAGATGTGAATTTTAGGCTGTCCGTAGCCACTAAAATAAAAATACACGAGTGTCGGTCTTATCTAATATGCTGCACTCTTAGATACAGGCTGTGCTGTTGGGTAGTTCTGTGGCAGCCCAAAATTAGTTGTGAGAGTGTGATTGCTAATATGTGGTAAACTAATGACAGACTTAACTTCTTTTAGTTGTTGGAGTTCTATGGAGACCATAATGAAGCCCGACAAGTATTAAATGAATATGCCTACAACTCAAAGTTTCCTGCTAATCCCAATGCTCATGTTTACCTCTATCAGTTCCTGAAGAGACATGGTGAACCAAAGAAATCGCTCATCTCTGCACTCAAGGTATACATTATATAGTAGGTACAGTCTGTGGTCATTCATGTTGCACAGTGTTCTGACAGTTTGGTTCAGCTGAACTCCTGTTGCATTATTTACCCTGTTGTATTCTTTGTGGGAAGCAGAAGGTTAGAGAAAAGGTAGTGGGAGGGATGCTGATGGGTGGAGCAAACAGGATCCTTTACTGTCTTTGAATTAAAGTATTTCTTTTGCCTCTAACTGATAAGTTGTATAACTTCTTTAAGGCAGTAAACAAGCTCAGAGAACATGTTTGCCTGGTTCCAGAAGTCTGTATCAGCAGTCTTGTACAGAACATGCATTGATTTCTGTTACGGTTTGATCTTTACAATGTTGCAGTGATTACATGTTTGTTCTTTCACATATTGATCCTGTCTAGCAATTAGTTTCTCTGCTTGTTTTCCATGAGCCATGCATTTAGGCTAAAATAGAAGTTAATTTCTCCTGGCTGTTGGTAGACAAGGCCTTGCTGCAGTAAGCATTTGTATAG